TAAAACCCAGTAATCTTATTAAGCAAATTAAAAAACGCAAATAAAACACAATTTTATTTTTGTTTTGTGATGAAATATTTAAATCTTCATGCATGCGACAAAATAAAACAAATCCCACCACCTTCATCAAACCACAATATTCGCAAACAAAAATTATAAACATAGTTTGCACCGAGGACGAGGCATTAAAAAGAGATTCGATATTAACATATTTCTTTATCTAAGAGAATTAGAGATTATTTCGTTAAACCTTGAAGAATTGTTTAATTTTATTAATTTCTTACAATTTGAAAATTTTTTATTCTAGAATGCGTTATCAGGTATAAACCGAGTGTTGTTTAAATGTACGTAATTTGCAAGCCTTCAAAATTAGTTTCCATGAAATATATTCTGCAGCTAATCAATCTAATGCCATTAAAGGTTTAAAACAATGAATCGGCAAGAGATTCACTGATTTGTCATAATTTGTTAACTTAATCTGTTTAAGGATACTGTTCAATTATCACGCCTTTTGTGGGTGTTAAATGAATCGAAAAAATAGGCTAAGTGTAAATCTTCGACTAAATAAAATAAAATGTAAATTTTGTAATTAGATTGTGTATAGGTTGAATTTTCAGTCAAGCTCACAGCTTAAAGTGCTAGAGGTGATAAACTTTATATTAACAAATACTTAAATAAATGCATATAATGTAAAAAAAAAAATAAATAAATATAAATTCGTTTTTTTTCAAAGAAGTTATTTTTAAAAAAAATAAATATGTATTTTAATAAATCAATATATTTTTTAAAGTAAATGTGTATGAGGATCATTTTTGCTTTATTTAACAGATATTACTTTAAAACCTCTCACAAGCTCACAGCTTAAAGTGCTATGAGTTGATAAACATTAAATTAATAAATACTTAATATATATAATGTAAGGAAGAATAAATAAATATAAATTCGTATTTTTTCTTAGTTTTTTTTAAGAAAATAAATATTTACTTTAACAAATTAATATATTTTTTAACGTAAATGTGTATGGGATCATTTTAGCTTCATTTTGACAGATCTTACTATAAAATTTTAAAATTGAAAATTTACAAAGAAGGCTTTGCTTGTCATTAGTCAATTGCTCACCATGCGAATGCTTTCCATTCTAGAACTTTCAATAGTGAAATGAGTAATATTTTTTCACTTCTGGTTACACATCCAACATAAATATATAGGAAGCATTTTCTTAAATCCTTCCTTCTCACTCCCGTCAAAATGACGGGGTGAAGTTTTACCCTCTATTTCTCGTGCCCATGATATTTCCGGGCTGTTGTGTTATGAAGTAACACATCCAGAAACGTTAAAGCAATCAATGTCTTATGCCCAGAGTCATATTAGTTTCTCAATCTATGTACCAGATGGCAGTGCTAGACTATTTGTCATGTGTTTAGAGATAGTTTATTTTAAACTAAATGTCAGCACTCATCAAGCATGTAAGCTAAGTTAACCTAAAAACTAAAAATGAAAACATACATTGTATATACACTTTGTTTTATGTAATTTTCTTGAATAAAAAATGGGCACTTTTATTACCGCTATTTTTTTCCAAAATTATGCAACCAGTAAGGGGTATAAGATATGCATTTATTCTCATACTTTTTTCGCTTTCGTATTTTCAAATATTTCGATAAATTAACTTTAAATATATCAAAGGCTTCCCATCAACTTACTGTTAAATTATTTAGCGTGCTATCCCTTTACTGTAAGTAATGAATGGTTAGGTTAATGTTTCTTTAATTGTTAACAAATAAGTTCAAAATCTACAAATGCACTCTCACGTCATTTGAAAAAATATAACTAAATTTACACCTCAAAAACAATAGTGGTGAATATTTTTTAAAACTTCACGATTTTATTTTATTTATCATCACACTAAAATTGCACTATTGAGCTATTAACGACGAACTAAGATTCAACCTTAGTGCCAATTTGAAGACAATAATAGAAGACACTCTACACACTGCAGACGCATTAGATTTCTAAAATTTAGGTTGGAGGAGCCTAAATTAGGTCTTATCACTGGGGAATGTTTTTAAATAATTTATGCACACCATTTTCACATTTTAGGAGAAATTACGTAATATTCTAAAATAAACTGAAGTTCTTTTTTCTTTTTTCTTAAAAAACAAATAAAAAATAAAAAAAAGGATAAAGTTGTGATCGCCTTATTGCGATTACTGGTCACCCATTGGTCAAATGCTTTTTTTTTCTAGCTGGACTTCGATAAATGATGCAACATTTCAAATCATGGGTTGCAAACAACTGTCTCCAATTGATGTTTGTCGTCGAATTGAATTTCAAATCCTGCCTATGTATGTGTTTCAAGATGTCACAAAATACTTTTCCTTCTTCAGCATTCATATTTATATTGAAATCACCGTTAAACCAGTAATTATAAATTAATAATAAAAATGATATAAAAATACTTTAAATTATTATTATGTAAATGCATTAAAAATGTCTGCTAGTGAAAAGAAAAAGAAAAAAGCAGCGGTCGCCATAGCAACACATGCAATGGTTGCGCATGCGCAGGGCCGGCTTATGCATGTCGCGGCCCCTAGGCAATGCTCGTTTCGCCTCCCCCCTACCGTCTTCTAACTTCCTAATAAATTTTTTCGCAAACACAACACTTTATTCATAATTACGCTGTCTTTTACTACATAGGTATGTTATCACATTATTCAATAAAAATATTGAATCAAACGAAAAGAATATAAGTAATTAATATATGCATTTTAAAAAAATCATACAATAAGCTTAAATATTAACTCTTCTAACTTTTTTTGTTACAAAATCGTTCAAGACATCCTGAAAGTTAACCTTTTCCAATCCACCACTGTTTATAATTACTGTTTAAGAAACATAGTCAATTTTTTCTCTGTAGCACAGGGCCCCTGAACGTGACGGGGCCCCTAGGCAGTTGCCTACAGTGCCTAATGGATAAAACGGCCCTGCGCATGCGCACTGTTTACTATTACTCTTGAGCAAAGTTGAAAAGTGTGAAGTTGTTCAAACACGTTGCACAAGCCATGAAATCTAAAACAACGCCCATTTTGCCAATAGGCTAAAAAAAGAAGAAAAAAACACTAAACTAAGAAAATATGATTTTAAGCAATCAAAAGATTTGAAAAAAAGTTGGGATGCGATTTTTAATTGTTTCTCTTTGTTTGACACTTTCACTATCAATATCGATATGACACTTTCACTATCAAGGTATAAAAAGTTATGTACTGTTACAAGAATTTACCACAAAAATTGATTATTTAACCTCAATCGTTTTTTTATATATACTACAACATTCAGTCTAATTTAGAACTCACTGTATTTAATATAATCATTTGCTAGAACGTTTTAGCGTATACTTGAGGTACAATCTTTGCCAAACTTTTTTAGAGTCTTATAAAACTTTTCCTTTTAGTTTGAGGTTAAAGTTTAAAATTGCGTTAATGGAATTTTAATTGGTGTTCATGGTTTAAATAACAAAAAGAATATTTTGTTACGATAGATTTAGATTGCATGCATATGAATCTTTCTTAAAAATATCTTGAAAGTGAAAGATTACTTCTATCTCCTTCTATGTAACTGTAATGCTTCGCCATTTCATTAAAATTTGTAAACATGGTTGATAGGTAAAGTAATCTTTTCCTAAAGTTTGGCTTCTTACTTCTAACTTAAGCTAATAATTAAATATTATTTTCCGATACCATATATTTTATTCAACTATTCTATACTGTAAATCAGCTTAAAGTGTTTTTTGCAAATTTTCTGGGATCAAAACAATAGTTATTGTAATAGCATTAGAAATAGTTATTGTTATATATGCTGTTATTATTGGTGAATAGTTTAGGCATGCTTTAAATATTTCTTGATAGTACTATAAACTTATTTAAACTGTATATGTATTGTACGCATGTATTTTAAATGTGTTTTGGGTCGTAGTTTGTTTATGAAGAGCATGGCATGTTTGAGAAGTCCTTGTATATATATATATATATACAAGGACTTCTCAAACATGCCATAATAAA